TGCCCGAAAATCTAGTTTGGGGGTAAATCGGTAGCCATTTTCTATTTTCAGAGCTACAAACCTAAAAGCTTTTACGTTTGATGGGGCGGTACCAAATTGAAAAGATGCCAGTGAATGATTCTAAATAGAATGTATTTCAATATTTCAATATTCACTGGCATTTCGTGCTTGTGACTCGGATATGCAAGGTGCTCTAAATTTTTGGCTGTAATTCACAAAGGCACACCGCTCAATCTTGAGAAATTCTTGCGTCTTGCTTTCTTAATGTTAATACCAGCTAATAATAAAGAGTTATGAGAAGACGGGTGGATGGATAATGGTATTGTTGTGTTCAGATAGTAATCAACATCTAAATATTTGATACCCCCTAATTAAATGCAAAAGACAAAAATTCCGCTTTTTGGTTGGCAGGTATGGAGTTTGGCCCGGCGTACATTTTTGTCAGACCCTAAGCCAAAATATTTTGTCATTTCATGCTGTTGCAAAAAGAAAATCAAGAATCATCCATTTATAGCCCACTCCTATTACTAGGTCTCTGCCAGAACATCGTTCAGGCGAGACAAAAACTGCATTAACAGACACTTTCATGATTTTGCTGATATTTTTAAAACATAATATAATAATATTTCATAATATGCTTTATGTAGTCTTCGACTACATGTATAAAGCATGCAAATGTTAGTCAGCATAAACTGAAGAAACAGGATTTTAAAATCACTCACCGATACTCGGTACTTTTATGCGAGAAGTGGAAAACATAATCCGCATTCTCATCATCCTGATCATCAGCAATGGACAATATTCCACGATATTCCAGGAGGAAATCTCCCTTTAAAAAGGGTTTATTTGTCACAAGTCCATGTCCTAAAAGTGGAGAAGGAAAATATTTTGTTAAAGTTAAAAAAAAAGGAAAACAAAAAAAACCTTATGGCAGAGTACCATGTAATCATGGTCATACAAAGCAAAGGTGTGTGTGTGTGTGGGGGGGGGGGGGTTACCTCCAGAAAATGCTTAAAATTGACGTTTCTTTTTATTACTGAATGTCCGCACAATCGACCACAAGTGTGGACCAAATCTTTCAATATCACATTAACAAATGCAGAAACATGCTGCTAATTTAAGGATTTTTTACAATCTTAGTGATTATATTCATTTTGAAAATTCTGTGTTTAATGATCGATAAATGATCACAATGATCAGACTTTGTGTAGATTTTTTTCTTCTCTCTTTCTGCTTGTACAATGCTGCTATCTGTGAACCATATTTTTCAGAGCCTTGAATCAAAAGGTATTGAACCAAAATACAAAAAGTCTTCCTAAAGGTTTAACTAGCCTTGATCTCATGACTTGCACATCAAAGGACTAGTTCAATACAGCCACTACTAAACTGCATAATCTATGTGTACAGTACCTATGTCATCGTTGATAATTTTTTTTTTAAATCCCTCCTGATCTTCTCCAAGGCCGCACCACCTCTCCGCTATATGGTAGGGTGAGATGCGGCGGTTACGTCTCTGACTCTGTCAAAAGAGGATCATGAAATGCTCTACATGAACATCTAGTTATACAGTGTATGTCAACTGTAAAGTAACATATCATATGTCACTCCCCCCCCCCTTTTTTTTCCTCTTTAACTTAGAATTAATAAAGAACTCCAGGCCCAAATAACTGGATTCATAAAAAGGAAAAAAAAATATTCCCTACAAAATGTTACAAAAATCATGAAAAGATGGAAGTTATGATTCGGAAAACACTTCTTGACCAGTCAATATGAATATTCATTTGAGTGAAGTGATGATGTCATCAGGTCACACAAATCATAAAGATGAAATCAAGAAAAATAAAATTTTTGGCAAATGTAGTTGAAAATATAACCCTGAAATATGTCATAGTAGACATAATTTCCCATTTTGGGAGATCTATAGAGAGAAAACAGATTTACTTTATTTTGCATGAAAATGAGATTTTTCTCATTTGAGTGAGATTTTTCTCATTTTCTGTAATCGAATCGTGTAGGAAATTGTGATGGTATAACATCATCTCTTCACTAAAATGAATATTCATACAGTGCCAGTCACAATTTTTCTTCTACCTGTTAATCCATGGAGGGACAGAGCCTTTAGGAAATAAAAAAATAATCTTCAATCAATATTTAAATTGGCAACATGTATTTTTTTCCCCTCTATTAAATGATAAAAAATAAATGAATTTAGATATAATAGCATCAAAAAGAGATTTTTTTGTGAAAAAAATTGGAACAAAAACGGCCAATGCTAACGCAGAAGTAGTGATTTATAAATTTTCTTTGCGAATTACCAATTTAAGGATCGCAGTGATTTGCTACATTCAAACTGCCCTTACTCAGGAACGCAAAATCACATTGCACTGGAAAGAGGCTCAAAATACTCAGTGTATTTTTCTCTAATTATGTTGCTAAACGCTCAGCTTTCTGGAATGTGGAGATACTGCCAACAAGGTGACACTGCATGTACCTCTATGGGTTAAACCTGCAAAAGGCTTTATCACAACAGAATCACAGTAGGATCACTAAACCATATCTATTGAATTCAGCCCTTGCAGGTTAGGTATATAGAAGAATAATTGTGACTTATTGTTTTCTAAAAATATGGGAAACTAAAAAAAAATCATAAGTACCTTATTTCTTATCACATTTTCATTACTTTTTTACCCTGGAATATTTTTCTGGAACATTTTTATAAAATTCAGTTATTTTTTGGTCTGGAGTTCATTTTTAAAGAGTTCTTTCAAATGTCTGATTTATTCCAGCTGCCGGGGAGGGGGGGGGGGGTGGTTAAATTTTATGTACTGGGGCTATTTTTCCCCTGTTCACTGCAAATTAAATTCTTAAAACTATGCCCATCCATGTGTAAAAAGCTGTCACAAAATATAGATTTGGTCTAAATATTTGCATTAAAGTAAAAACACTTGATACACATGCATTGATTTTCCAAATAATTGAGCTAACAAAAATACCTAATTTTTGAAAAGGGTTTCCCCCTTTGATGGACTAATACAAAGCTTAAATTTGTTTGTAATTTAACAAAAAGCATCCATGGAACAAGATAGACTGGGTTTTTCAAAGAAACCAGATGACGTCTCAAAATACTCAAAGCGGTGAAGATCCAGTGAGGATATTAACAGCTTGTTACCAATCTTCCATAAATTGCATGTATCATTTAAACCCCAAGTATAGTTTATTTATTTATTTATGTATTTGTTTTATTTTAGTAGGGTTGCCTAATCAGTGATCAAGGCACTGTTTTTCACTGGGGCCCTACAACAAAAAATACACATACATGAAAAATACAAAGGTAAAGTATACATACATAAAATAGTAACATTAGGCTGCAAAATTAAATTAAACTAATGATCAGCATTTTGGGAATTAACTTTAACAGAATACCAAAAATGTTTAACAAATTGTGAGATGGTTTGTGAATTCTTAACAAAATTGGGTAAACTGTTCCACATAACAGAACTAGAATGAACATAACTTGATCTTCCAATTTCAGTTTTTACCGGTAAGAGTTTAACAGAATTATTTCTTGAAGAACGTGTATTATGAGAATGAATATTAGATAACTTAGAGAACAAATTACATATATATTGTGGAGCTAGGTCATTAACAGCCTGAAAAACCATCTTACATTGGTGAAATTTCCATTGGTCGAAAATGGAGACCCACTTTAGTCTATTCAAAACTTGTGAGGTTGGGGTGCACGTTGGTACACCCAAAACCAAACGACACATTATTTTATGTTGTTTTATAAGTATACTTTTTACATTTAATGGCAATATCAAAGCATATGCTAACAATTTCAAACCGACGAACGTTAAGTATTTTTTTTGATCTACCTAGTAAAGCTATCCTTTTGTACAGTTTTGGTTGCAAAGAAACTTGTTTATCAAATTTTGACTCAAAGGCCAGTTAAAATTTAAGATAGCATGATGAAAGATATTGCGTTAAAAAACCTTGTGGAACAATCTCCCATCCAAAGTCATAAATTGCTGCAATGTCAATTCCTTCAAGTCTGATCTTGAAAAAAGGCATGATCTACTAAATTTAAATATGCTACATGACCCAGATGAGGCTTTCTCTCATGTACAGCAGTGACACTCCTGCGCATGCACCATCAATCACTAGTGTGCTCAAAGAATAAATTAGAGGAACACATTTAAGAAGTTACAAAGGGGCAAATATTGTTTAACATGTACTTTATGCCCAACAAAGGCCAAAATCAATGAAGGACTTTTAAAAATTATTTTTCCGGGGAGAGGGGGGGGGGGGGGGGTGTACAGACGCTTAACAAAAATAAAGTGTGAATTTGTACTTTTCATCTCTCAAAATACCCAAAAAAATATTAAGTTAAAAATGGAAGTAGACTTATCCCCACAAATATCTGCTACCAGACAAACAGACAAAAGATGACAAACCCCATAGTATAATAGGACCCTTATAGTGTATGATAAAAATGAAGACCAAAGGAATGAGTTATTTGCACTGGGGATTTCAGTGATCTGTTCAAAATAAATACAATGAAATAGCATATGGAATCACTCACCATATTATTTTGGAATATGAGTACATGCAGGGAGAAAATCCCGATACCATATGCGTGGTGATGATAAGAAATAGATGAACAATGATACAACAGCAACAAGAATACCAGAAGTTACAAGCAAAATATCACAAAAAATACAATCAATACCACAATCAACATGGAGAGGATGAACAAAATATACAACTGAACATCAACTCGAAGAGATGGAGAACACAGGGAGGTGCGAGATGGTGAAGACATATGAAACATAGAACAGGTATGAGAAGAGGGTGGGGAAGGAGGAGAATGAAGGGGAATATTAAATGATAAAGAATCTGATGTAGATGGAGATGATGCAGATAACGAAGAAGTAGAAAAAGAAGCCAAGGATTCTGAAGGAGAAGATGGTGGAGATGGAGGAAAAACAACAAGGGAAAGATTAAATGACAAGGAATCTGATGTAGATGGAGGTGATAGAGATAAAGATGAAGAAAAAGAGGATTCTGGAGTGGGTGGAGGTGCTGGAATATTTGACCAGGAGTCCAGATGGGAAGTCTATTGGGAGAAAAGCAGATAGAAGCCACAATCAAAATGAAAAAGCCATAGATCTGATTGGATATACAGCCCTCAAAAAAGTTTGTGGAATGATTACTGATCTATGAATGGTAAAACTTGTATTATTGGAATGCTTCATTATTGTTCGTTACAATGGTGTGCAATCTGTTCTCATTATGTAATCATGGACTGCACAGTAGACCTTAATATATATCTAGCAAAATCCATTGTTTTCTATTAAAAAAGTCTGGTCTTTTCTCCTTTTGGTTATTGTTGTTGTTTCCTTGTATTCATGCCATGATTACTTCATTAATGTTTTAAATGAATGATTTGTGATGTTGACGGGACATGTTCCCATTATGTGCATACATGTATGAGTTATCTGAAACATAAAGAATGACATATTACTGCATTATTTAGGGTTTGAAGTGGAAAGTTTTTTAAAAGTAAATTTAAAACTATACCAATATCTCAAACTTGTCCAAAACATAAGACCGTTTTAATGACGGAGTTCAACATTTTTCCGCACACATTCAGTCCATTTTGCAAATAAATATACACAGTGTGTGGACTTTCCTGCATCAGCATCAACATCATTCAAACTCAGTCCATCCTATGCAATTGCCAACAAAGTCCCTCAAACCAAGAAAAAAATTGAAACTTTTGTCAGAAAACAATATTTAGCATTTTAATTTTTACATTCCCTATATTATATATATCTAGGGGTTCTGCATAATCCGTGATTCCACAATCAGAACAGATGGCATATCATTATCAAAAGGAAATGAATCTTTCCATATATACCACTAAACAGTTTCCGTAACAAAAAAGATATCCCCTCAAAGTCGAGTTACGGAACTTTTTGGAAGGGTTCAAAATGAACCCTCTCTATGTAAACAAAATCTGATGAAAAATATATTAACAATACGTGTGTAGAACTTAATTAGCAATAGCAGATGATATCATGCAGCAAAATTAATGCCTAAATAATTGTTCTTTAATTCATACTTTTAGGTGTACAATTTCTTTACCCGGAATGGCTGAAATACTTCTATAGAAAAGTATTTGTTCTTTTTTTTGTTCTTGTTTTTGTTGTTTTGTTGTCTTTATTTTGTATATTATGTCACTGGGTGTCATTGGGTGTCCGGACGGGTTGGGTATCCGGACAAAACGGCAATTTCAAGAAATTTGGAAGCAAGATTTCATAATTTGTTTGAATGTAATGTAAGACAATATTATAAATCACAAATGCTCATGATTATTTTTGTTATTTGATCCATAGTTTTTGTGAAATTCAAAGGCAGAAGGAGGCGATTTTATTTGTGTTAAGTCTCCGGACACCGCACCCCCATCTTTATACATGTACATAAAAAATACTCTAGTTTTCATTATCAATATAATTTGATTTGATTTCAATGGGGGGGGGGGGGAACACACCCCAGCCCTCCCCCAAATGTTCCGCCGCCACTGTTTAATACATTTCTCATGCAAATATTCATAAAAATCTTTGAATTTTTGCATGGCTCAACATTTCCCATGCATGGTCAGTACACCTCAAGGCTCCACACTTTGTTAATGCATACATGCATACACATTGCAAACTATAAGTTCAGTGCACTAGTACATCTCCACACCAGAGTCCCCAGAAAAAGATGTGTGAATCAGAAATAGACTAGGTCTAACTTTACTCACCTTGGCACCAAATAACATCTGGCCTCGAGCCTTCCCAAACACTGAATTCAATGAACTGGTTTAATTTCTCCAAATCAACCAGACGATCAACAAATATAAAAAAGACCTGTCCCAATCTTCTAGTTCTGATTAAATGATTGAACTGAAAACTAAAGATTAAAATAAAATTATAATTAAATAAACTGGCCGTAATTATCACCCCTTTTGGTCCATAAAGTGATACCGGCATCGTTCCAATAAGGGCCAAATCGTGAAATAAGCCACCGTTCTAGTCCCGCGCGCACGATCGGTCATCGACGACACGGTCGAGTCTCGCGCTTCTAATACAACGCGCCAGCTAGCTGCGCTGCATTTTTGCAAGCTCGCGCGCGCTAGCTCACAACGATCGATCCCGAGGATCTGTGTGTCCGCAGGGGGCGCTCTTAACATTTCAAGACACACACGACGATATACCAACGGGAGTGTTAAGTGTGTCGATTCTTTTCTTTTCGAACATCCGAGGACAGGCCTTATTTAAGGTCAGATGCACCCTCGGACGTAGAATATCCTTTTGCACGTATATTACTCCCGAGGACAGCATGTTACGTCCTCGGAAGTAAATTTCGTCCTCGGACAAAAGGTGTGTTTTCTTGCAGTTGGTCTCGGACGATCGATAATGCGCACGCACATATACACACACACAAATGTTCTTTGATATTAGATATTTGATAAGTGTGGCATGATTAATTTTGTTAGGGATGTTATTTGGATCTGCAAAGACCGAATTAATACCCAAATCCCAATTGTTTTATTCAAACATCACATAAGCATTACTGGCGCAAGTCGATTTTTGCACTCTCTTAAACAAGGTCTCCTGTTCATCCAAGCGTGAACACATACCCCCTCACAAATTAAACCAAATGATTTGGGATAAAACACTCTTTCATAAGATATATAACAATTTAATGTTTATAGATGATTTTTAAAAAATTAAAAATTAGCAATTTTCGAGGTGTGAACTTTTTGTTGCCTCACACTGTATAAACGAGTAAATGCTGGTCACAAAAATGCTAATGACTAGTCACTAGAAGAGCTAATGATCGGTAACGCGTGAAGCAAAGATAAATGCCCGGTCATATGTCATGTACATGTACGTCCGTTCTCAATCAATCATTTTATAATAATTATCGTCACTATTTAATAGTGAGAAATAAATAAATAATACAAATACTGCAATAGCATCAGTGTGGGCACGTGGTGGGTTGCCACTTTAAATTTCGGGAATTTTTAAGACTTCATTTCGGTTCAAGTTGCAATTGTTCTGATGTTGTTCGTTGGCTCAGCCTCATAGAAATTCTGCGAAAAAAGGGAGACCTGCATGGAAAACAGCAATCAAGTATAAGTTGTTTTCTGAAACGCGAGCTCAAGATGTACATCATAATCGGGTTAAAACAACACAAAACGTAAAACGGAATCCGAGCCCAGCGATAAAATGCAACGAAGGATGGTGAATGAATCAAACTAGATTTAAACTCAAACAAGATGTTGACAATGGTTCCTGGCAACTGGGCAACAAAAAACATGGCCGAGAGAACGGTTACCACCACAGCGATCTTGACACGAGATCGGATTCGGGGGCTCCGTCGCCTGTTCTGACGACCACTGCCGTTCAAAGAGCGGTTTAATTCAGAATTCCTTACGACAGGATCTCGGATACTTTTTAAAAGTGTACATGCTATGATAATGTGGACCGTTACAATCATGATAAAAGGTATTATAAACGTCGTCACGGCGCGAAAGACCTTGTATATTTTGGCTGTATCCGTATGGTGAGCGATCCATTTACAACCATTTATTTTGTACTCGGCCAAAACTATTACGGGAGCTGCCACGATGAAGGAGCAGATCCATATTGCAGCGATAATCAATCCATTTGAGTGTATTGAACATCTTCGAAAAGCACCCGAGCAGCAAGTTTCTCCGCAACGGTTGAATGGATCGGCGATTTTCTGGTAGCGCTCAATGGACAGCGCCACCAACGAGTACACCACGACGCATGCGCTCATGATCAATGAGGCGGTCGTGAATTTGCACATGAAATCGCCCCTCACATTCGTGTTACCCTGCATTAATTCGTACTCGATTACAAAAGGGACATTGATAAGCAGACACACGAGATCCCCGACCATGAGATTGACGAATAGAATATTTTGCGTCTTCCGAAGAAAGCTGTTCTTCAGGACGATGAAAATAAGCGATCCATTGGCTAAAATGCCGAAAATCATGACACAGGAGAGTATTGTGATCCGTGGCCAGTTTATAGCAGCAGGGATGAAGGGCCGAGTCATTTCGGTTGTATTCATGTTGACTTCGGTGTAATTAGTACAATCCCCATACTCCATATCTGAACAATTCGCCATAGAAGGTGTGGCTGTCATAGTGCATCAGATATCCTAAAGAGATAGATGTACACTGTTAAAAGTCACCGAGGTGTCATGCCACTATTCTCAAGTTTGTAGGACGAATCTGAATCGAATGTGTCCGATATTCCACGCTACTGGATCGAGTGGGCTCTGGAAGGCACAACCAAGGTTCGGTATATCTGCACAAAAAGAAAGATAAAATTATAATAATAATAATAATAATATTAATATTTAATGTTGATATAGCGCTTAATACAAATGTCTCTCTCTCTCTATATATAAATATATACTATTACCCCGGTTATTGGATTCAGTGCTTGCCCGCACACAATGTGTGCACAATCTCCACCCCCTGGGGAGCATTCCAGCCAGGTGTTACATGACGCTCAAAAACTGTTTGACCAACAATGACGGTCATATCCTACCGGGTATATATATGAATGTGTGACAACAATTTGAAAGAGCGTTGGTACGCAACCATGTCTACATGTATTATGACTACGCTTCCACGACGCAGCTTCTGGGACAATAGCTCCGGCGGGGGTCTATTTCCTACAGTATCCGAAGTCCACCGTCAACGGTGGACTAAGCGCTAAAACGCTTAACCTTTCTCTAAACTTTTCACAAAATGTATACATTATAAAATATGTCCTGGAAGCATGTTTATAATGTAGATATTAAATTGGCATCCATCTGCATACATATCGTGTGCATCAGATAAGGTAAGGGTTAAGGTTAGGTTAAGGGTTGTTGCTATTTTTAGAAACATCAACGACTGGTTAAAATAATGCCTACCATCATAAACTCTATCAAAACATTGCCCTTATCCCAACACTTTTGGCGCAATAAAGTCCGAGCAGATGCCGTCGAAAAGGTTAAACCATGGACCTACTAAAACGAATCTTATATTCACCGGTACCCGGTACTGACTGACAAGGTGAGCTGACACCCAGTGCTCTGCGGTCCTTCAGTTTCACCATTTTTTTTTTTTTTTTTTTTTTTTGGGGGGGGGGGGGGGGGGGGGGGGGTAAGAGCACATTAAAAAAAAAAATTGTCCCGAAAATTTGAAAATTTGGCCGACCGATATTTGAGGTCACCGTTTGGCCTATTTTAAAACAAAATTTGAGGGGGGGGGTCCTCCAAAACACAAATATTAAAATTTGGGGGGGGGGTTGACCCCCAACCCCCCCCCCCCTGCGTACGCGCCTGACTACTAGTACTTCCTCCACAACTACTACTACTATTACTACTACTACTACTACTACTACTATACTATTACTACATGTACTACTACTATAATTATGTAGGGGAGAAAGCACCAGTGTCTTGCTTTCGTAGAATTCTAATATCACAAAATGTAAATACATTGTAAAATAACTTTGTTGCACCTCTGAACCGAGGTTCTTGCCTTTTGTAAACATTATGTTATATAATTCTTTATCTTTTTATTTAGTGTAAAATACCAAAGCTTTGTATTTCATCACAGAACATATTTTACCCTAGATGTAGAATAGCTAGTAGCTTAAGTATGTATTCAATACATAGTTATTCATATTTATTCATTACATTCTCATTCATTGATGTGATACTTGTTTGTGTCAGTGGTACCAGACACGATTAGCATTTAATGCTACTTTATATAGTCCTATTTATCCTTTCAATGTTAACCATTCACTTTTGATTGTTATATTGATGTACTTTTTGTTTTGACAATTAACTTCAAACTTCACTTCACTTCACTTCACTACTACTTCTTCTACTAATAATGATAATAACAATAGAAGTAGTAGTAGTAGTAGTATAGTAGTAGTAGTAGTAGTATAGTAGTAGTAGTAGTAGTAGTAATAATGATGATAGTAATAGTGATAATATTAATAATAATAATAATAATAGTATGTAATGCTTTTTATAGCTCATATTACATTGATGTCTTTTGCGCTGTATTCACGATAAGGAAACATAATTAATATACTGCGAAATAATCAGGAAACCAGTAAAGGAAAACATAAAGGCATAGTAGAAAAACACGATGAACTGTGTGTATGAAAGATTAAAGTCGACCTAGATATACATTCATTTCCTTTGCAACCAAAGAGAACATCCCACGGATTTCATATCCCTCTAATATTAACCTGTTGAGTACACCATTCTCTCATTCTTTCACAGACCACTGGTTTCCCGTACGCAATGGGGTTGAAAGAAAATTAGTAAGATATTATGTTAAACCTATCATACCAGTGGCGTAGACAGGTTCGTACACCTGGGGGGGATGACTCAGGGGCGGATCTAGCTTTTTGCTAAGGAGGGGGGTTGACCAAAATAATGACGATGCGGAGCATCGTCCACGAGCCGCGAAGCGGCGAGCCGATTTTTTTGGGGTGTTTATTTGAACCCCGTAAGTGATGTTTTCCTGGCATCTATTAACACAATGGAGACCATAAAAAGCAGTGCATGATAACGTCTTTTTAAATCAAGTAACAGTTTAATACACAGTTATATCCAGAGTTATCATGTGTTTGGTTAAGTTACCAGATGAGTTGAATATCTTCTCACAATATTTGCACTTGAAAGGGTTTCTCTCCAGCGTGCGTTCTTTTTTCTTTCTTTTTTCTTTTTTTTTTCTTCTTTTTTTTTCCCTTTTTTGTTTGTTTGTTTTTTGGGCCACCCAAGGGGGGGGGGGGTTAAAACCCCTAACCCCCCCCCCCGTAGATTCGCGCCTGTTTAATCTTGTGGTTATCTTGTGGTTTCCAAACCACAAGATAACCACAAAATACTTGTAAGATTTTCTTTTTTTTACCGTCTGAATTGGCTTTCACCGTGTGAATGCGGCTAATAACAATAAACACAATTACAACAATGATGAGGATTATTATTATCATCATCATAATTATTATTATTATTAATATTATATTTGTTATCATTATTATTATTACTATTATTATCATCATTATGACTTATCAAGTAAGCAAATATCATTCCCCAAAATCTGGGGGGGATGATTGTACATGCCATCCCCCCCACCTTGTGAGGTGGGGGGGATGCATCCCCCTCATCCCCCCCCGTTGTCTACGCCCCTGTATCATACTATAGCGAAATTATATATGAATGAGTAATTGTTATATCTACCTGAAATGGTCTCCTTTGCAAGTTTCAGTGATATATCCAGGATCCTTGCGTGTATACTCTAAGAAAATGTTTCCCGACAAAACAGATGTCTCGCAACTCTACCAATTTCTCTACCAAAACTAGCCGACGAAGGCATTTATGCGCATTACACGTACTCAAACTGAATTAGGAGTTATTGCCAAATTCCTAACTTCATTCGCAGACATCATTGTTATCCACTATCCACTCTGCTATGACATTCATATTTATGTATCACAATACGCCATAACAGAGAATTAGAATTATAAGTGCTATAACTGTGGAGTTGGTATTCTAGAATAAGAGGAGGTGCAGACAGCGCACGGCATATGTAATTATTATCTGCATCTCTATGAACGCGCACATTTTGGCGAGTTCGCAAAGATACTCTTGACGGTAGCGCAGAATGCATACGAAATAGGTGAAGAGAGCAGGCACTAATGCATGGTCGGAAAGGGGGGTAGGGTGGAGGGGGGGGGGGGGGGGGGGGGGTAGCAACGTGAGGTGAACAAAACGGTTGATGGGGTTAAGTGACATGAGTGTGTAACGTATAACCAAGTCGGGTGAATACTAGAATCTCCATTTCAGCCTCCGTGGGGATTCTAAGGGGTGTAAAACGCCAAAAAAAAATGATGCTTCTGAGAAATACCGCTTGCAACACTTTGATGTAAAAAAATTATTTAACAAAAAAGGAAAGGAGAATTAAAAAAAAAATCAAAGTTCAATCTGCACGTCTTTGAAACATGAAAGTTACCAGGATCAGAGGGCACACCGCTCGGCAGATCTTGGCTTTTAATATATTTTTTTTTGGGGGGGGGGGGGGGGGGGGGGTTGAATATCCCGTGGCTCGGACGAAAACCAGCAGCTGGGCCTTTATCATTTGTAAGGTGAAAGACACGTGCACGTTGAGCTTGTAATGCGAATTCAAACTTGTTTTCAATATAAATTTGTGCAGTTGCAGATGCCGTCATTGCCTTGCTCTGATGCCATCATTGTGCAATATCAATGGGAACCACATTTTCGTCGGCCTAAGGCACAATATTTGTGGAGAAATAGAATGATCACAGAATTTCGCACAATACAAAAGCCAAGCCTAATTGTAAGACTTCCTGTCATTCTCTTTTGAGCAATTTTGCCCCTGCACGTTGAATCAGGCGCGTACACAGGGGGGGGGGGGGGGGTGGGGGGGTTAAAACCCCCTTTTGGTATTTTTTGTGTGTAAACCCCCCTAAATTTCCCTAAAACCCCCCCTTTTGGATTTATTATTTTTTTTTTTTTAATTAAAAAAAATTAAAAAAATAAAAATAAAAATAAAAATATTCCCATGGCTGACCTCAAAAAGATGACCTTACCCCCCCCCCCCCAACGGAGCAAAATGTCAAATTTTCAAATTTCGATACCAAGAAAAAAAAAAAAAAAGTGTCCTCTTAAAGGAGATACAATTTCGAGGGCACGATCAATTTATGAAAATAAGCAGTATCATATTTTTGCTTGCTTTGGTCGTAAAAAACACCACCTTGACCCCATTGATAATTGTTGTTAGGAAATCTGTTGGCTTGCAACCAACAAATAAAGATCGCGTGCTCGATCTTGTAATTGAAAACAAGTCTCATAAAATCTTACAGGTATTACAAAGTTTTGGGAAATTTTGAAAATTGGTTTGATAGTGATTCTTTACAATTTTGATATATTTGGATGCCTCTGTGGATTTATTATAAGCACTAGAAAATTTATCCCCTAAAACACTTCTGCTTTCAAGAAAAATTGAATATAAAAATTTACCGGTGCTCCCGGTAAATTTGGTAAATTTGAAATAGCGCCTACGGCCGTATAATGGTAGCTGCGACCATGAAAATCTCACAATATGTAGTTGTGATATATAATTTCCAAACGGGAGGAGTTAATCGGTCGATTTAGACAAGAAACGTTGTTTCATAACTTAATTAATATCTTGACCTTGAGAGGGAGCTATATAACATGAAGAGTTTATTATTTAAAATTTCATAACTTTAGACTCGATTTTAACCGCGACAACGATTACTTAATATTGTAGGATCGCATATGCTTCCAATATGTTCATTTGAACCAAATTCATAACCCATACCAAAACTTTGTATTACCTTTAAAATCGGCGGAATTTGAACCTGCCGTCTACTGCTTGTCGGGTAGCTACACTGGTAATAAAGTATAAGTATATAATATTCCCATATCCATGTTTCTCATTATCGGGATATGCTACTTATATTTCATAATTCCCTTTCTCTTTTAGCCTAATTTGCCTTGTATCTTCCCCAAAATAAAATGATGTTGACACGAAAGACACCATATAGTTGATTATTTTGATATTTTCTTTATCGTTGTATTAATTACCTTTTCATTACCCTTTCAGAGAGATAGTTTAATAGCAATGTGAAAACCATATTTTCTCAGTTATCAATGGGGTCTCTTTTACGAAAGATAAGTTTATAACAAATTCTTGTTTAAAAAAAAGTGGACACCTTTTTTTTCTGAGTGTTTATGCAATACCGTGAGCCCTCGTCGCCTCACCGCTAAAAGGAAATTGCAGCCATTAACAGGGTATGGCGTTAGTGCCTAGATGGCAGCGAACTGACGCTCTGTAGTTTTGCCCCTCCTGAGGCAAAAATCTGGATACGCCGCTGACTGCCGTTAAATATTACATCATGCCCCCCCCCCACTCCCCAAATGTTTCTACTTACAGGGATAGGTCATTATTCAGGATCTTTTTTCTTTTCTTTTTTAAGATATGCAACCAACCCCTCCCCCTCCCTCAATGAGGAAAGCGTCTAGCATGTATTCGTTTCTGTTAGCAGTGCAGTTATCTATTACATCTATGTAGGATCTTTCGTAGGCCTGAGACATTTTTTTTCTTCACCGGAACTGGGATTAATCGGTCACGCATATGGTATCCCTGACATTGTGGCTGGGATTGTGATTCGTCACACTATTTTTGACCTGAGTTGGATCTGAAAACGATACCAGGTCAGCCCAATAATGTGCTCTCCCCCCCCCCCCCTCCCCGCCTATTCAGCGGCTGGCTGAGTCGTTGCGATGTTTTGGGAACCAAAAATATATATATATATATATATGTCCTCTTACCCCCCCCCCCCCCCCCCCCGCTGCGGCCGGCCCGATTATGCCGATTTGTGCCCCCCCCCCCCCCCGGTAAGAAATTCCTGGATCCGCCACTGGATGGGAAGGATTATGATGGTTGCAACAGATCGAAATGATGATTTACTGTCACATTTCAGGTAAGTACACGCTTGACCGGTCCTTTGAAGAAGTGTACGGTGAACAGCTTAGATCATTGAAGAATTCCAAACATCCGGGACCATTACGGCTTATAACCGTGCGAGCAGACTTATGAGCCAATTAATATACAGTGCGGATGGCCTAGTATATCCAGGCGTGTACGCAGGGGGGGGGGGGGGGGGTGTATGTTTTGGGGGACCCCCCCCCCTTTTGTTGAGTTTTGATTATAGGCCTATGTTCTCTTATTACCCCCCCCCCCCCCCCCCCCCCGCTTATTCAGCGGCTGGCTGAGTCGTTGCGAATTTTTTGGCCCGATTTCAAAATGATAACCTCCCCCCCTTGAAAAAAATCCTGCGTACGCCACTAAGTATATCAATACCTGCTTTAATATATTGTAGGATAAATGCGAATAGCAGTGTTTCGTTGAAAAAATAGAAGAATAAACATATTTTCTCCCTCAGTAAAATAATATGAATAACCGATGTTTTGAGTTTTATGTTTCTCTTCACATTCTGTGATTTTGTAAACGCTATGATAAGGTATTTTTCTTTTGTAGCGCTCCTAAATAATCGAATTACTTGTTTATATAAAAAGGAAATGGGAAGAGATTGATAATCACGATAAAGACCGTGCTAGTACAACAGAAATATTACTTGCCAGGTCCAAGATAATTCCCTCTATCTAATATGCCAAGAATACAGAGAAATTGGAGGCCTAATGTTTGAGCCTTATGCTCGTTATAATGTACACACTAAGAAACTTCGTGCACTTATTTCTTTCTAATATAGGACATTATCAAGTTTTGCACTGAGATTTTGCCGATCACAAGTCTTTCTTCCTTCGAAGTGAATATAATTTTTGTTCAAAGTAGGGGCCTAAAAATTTATTGTCGGACAACATAAATAAATGTGACCTACTCACACACTTGGAAACACCAATAACACCAATAACATGCCAATGACCGGTTAGAGCACTAGACACATGGTCATTGAATCTCAACAATCCAAGGTCAGTCAAGTAAGACTGTAGAAATTCAACATGGAACATGGTGATTTAAAGCCTGTCTGTACTAGTTTGGTCAGGAGGGATTAGACCTCCATGCGTGGTCACTGACAGGTGGTTATCTCATCAGATCAGCTCTTAATTAACATAAGAAAAAGGGGATCATGGGGGACCGACAAGTACCGCTTAGGCATTTTTTGCTATATAGAGGGCGCAAGTAGCTACAAGTAGTGCAGTCCCGCTTTAAGAAGTGTGTTGGAAGGGGTCGAATCATACCCTTTACTCTCACGTTGCATTTCCCTCTCTTTTCTTCATTTAGCACTGTACATCTCACGGCTCGATCGGTGCTGTTTTGTTTTTCTTTCTCTCTTTCTTTTTTCTCTTTTTCTCTTTTTCTCTTTCTCTCTTTCTGTTTTTCTCTTTCTCTCTTTCTTTTTGTTTGTTTGTTTCAATTGTATTGAGGGTCACTTACCCTCAATACCTATGCCACTAGTTCCGAGCTTTAAAGGTACTATGTCCCATTTGCAGGCCAAACAAATTTAAAGGTTAAAATTAACGGCATTTGAAAGATAATACCAATTTAGAACTTCCCTCAAAACAAAAGGGCTTGAATTTCTTTTTGTGGGTAAATAACGACCGTTAACCGTCGAATCTAATTAAGGGATTGCAGTCGTTTAATGAAATAGTTTTATTTTTAGACCCATGTACCGAAGGATCGTACGTTTTGTTCTGCGCAAAGATTCAATCAGTTTAATGTTGGCCATTACAAGAAGCGGGTTATTGATGTAGACAAAATTAATGCTCATGTACCCTTTACCAGGCACGTAGCCACGGGGGGGGGGGG